ATCATCATCATCATCATCATCATCATCATCATCATCATCATCATCATCATCATATTTATACTCGCTTCTTTGTCTCCATCATCCCATCTTACTCCTAACAATAGAGGCGACAATCATTATAATAACCCTCCCCTCCATTGTCATTGGAACTTGATGCAGCAGGAGAAACAACAGCAGCAATAATTGTAGTAGCAACAGCAGCAGAAGCAACAGCAGCAGCAAAAATAGCAATAGCAACAGCAAGTGCAGCAAGTGCAGCAATAGCAACAGCAATAATAATTGTAGCAACAGCAGCAGCAGCAACACCACTACGAGCACCACCACGGTCAAAAACAACAACACATCTGACATAAAAAAATCCTATTTATTCGACGTTATTTCAGTTGCACCATGGGAGTGAATCCACTTGTCCTTGTCGGCACAGCAGTTTTGGGCCTTGGTGTCCTCCTTCACATCGTTGGCATGGCAACGCCCGTATGGTCTGTTGTCAAAGGTGATAGTGACACCAGTTTCGGGGTTTTTAAGAGATGTGCCAAAGTTTTTGGAAGTCATGTCTGCGTGTCTTACATTGTTACTACGGGTGAGTCAGTTATTCTATATTACTTTATTCTCATGTAATATACTCTTATAAATACCTTTCTTTTTCTGTTTATATGTCACTTTGATTGTCTTGTATTACAATGTCCTTGACTGCGAACTTTTTTTTTACAATTTTGGGAATCACTATGAGAGCGTGCTGTTTTGGTCAAGTGAATGTTAAGTGGAGAAAGGACCGAGCGTACTCGACTAAATCGAGACTGGTGTTTTTTTCTCAGCTTTAAACTTGTGGATACTTTTCATTTCACTGGAAAATAAAATCACGGCTCTCTTTCTTTATGCTTCAGTCGCAAAAAGAGGTACACACGAGTATAATTAACTAAACGCTAACAAAGTGCTGTGCGGCTCTCGTATTTTGTTGTTTATTTTGATTTTGTCTCAAAGAGAGGAACACATACTACGTGAAAGCTGTATTGAGGTCAACTTATTACGTTCTCCTGTGATTGTAGTCGTCGATTCAGCTGCAGCTGGTGCTTCAACTACTATGGCTCTTATACAAATGCTATGTTGTTATGACTGCTGTCATACTAATATGTCTTGTTGTTGTTTTTTGTTTTACTGTTGTTGTTGTTGGTTTTGCTGTTACTGTTGTTTTTTTCGTTGTTGTTGTTGTTGTTGTTGTTGTTGTTGTTGTTGTTGTTGTTGTTGTTGTTGTTGTTCTTCTTCTTCTTCTTCTTCTTCTTCTTCTTCTTCTTCTTCTTCTTCTTCTTCTTCTTCTTCTTCTTCTTCTTCTTCTTCTTCTTCTTCT